AAGGGCACTAAACGAGTATTTGCAACAAATGACTCATTTAGTCTAGTAACCTGTTATGCTGGATTGTTTTCAAGAAGACACAAATTGCCAAGAAATTTATCCAATGTCTTTATAGTTACTTTGGCCAATTTAGTTCAGAATGTTATGAACTATTATTTTAAACTTAATTTGTTTTTCTGAGTAGGCTCAATCTATTGTCACACACTTGGTTGTGCATCCTTTTGCTTTTTTCCTTTCATCCCTTCCTGCCTTCTTTCCTGCATTATTCCACAAGGTATCAAAGACAAATCATCTACTAGGAACATAGAATAAATCCAATTTATTGCCTAAAGACACTTTAAGGAATGTTGGCTAAATAAAGTATAATTTGCTAGTATTTAGTAACTGAATTCTCACACTTCCTCTGTTGCCAAATGGAGAGACCCTAGTGTGCATTGAAACTTGATCACTTAAAACTATCCAAGGAAATTCTGCAACCTATACATTCATGTCCCCAACAACTAGGTGCAATTTCCCTAAATATAATGCTCTTCTTGGTTACTTAGATAAAAATGAACTACTTCTAGATTCTCATGTTATCCAAAATTCTAGAGGTTGATTTCCTTAAAAATCTCTTATCAGTTAAATAGCCTTAACAACTGGTAAAGTAATTTTTTTATGAATAAAAACAAAGGCATATTTCTTCACTGTAATGTTTTCTTCTTATGTTTTACAAGAAGTTTGCATCTCTTTCTTCAACAATTCTCACTATATCTTTTATCTTTCAGAATTTTTCAGATGACTTCTGTATAACTAACATAATAAATCACAACTACATCCCCATCAATTTTCTGTTACTTTTCTATAAAGTTTACTTTAGATAACATATAAGCATCACAGTTTATGCGTCTGTTACAGTAATTTTGAAAGATGATCCTTAAACTTCACCCATCATATTTGGCTTTTGTTAAGCATTTAATTAAGCCCCACTACAGGATATAACTGTTTATCAGCATTATCATTCTATTTGTCCCATTCAAGTGTTCAGGATTTGGCCTCACAGTGGGTGTTGGGATAAATCTATCTCAGTGCACTCACATAAAAATACATAAAAAGGACCAACCTCAAGGGCCAACCTGCTTACAAATACTTAATTGTTCTCTTTTGTTTCCTCTACCTTGGTTGAAACTGCCATTGTTAGCAACAGGACTGTTTGTTTCTTGGTAGTTACTTTTGTTTTCTCTCGTCATAGCTTTCTATTTGGGAGAGAGTTGGTTACTGCAGCTCCTTTCTCTTACACTGTTTCTTGATTGGTCCCTGAAAGATGTTTCTTGGAATATTTTATATTCAGCCTAACAAGGCACAAATGGGTTTGGAAGGTCATTTTTTTAAAATCACTATTGTTAAGTTTCAGATAAAACAATGAATAATATTGTATGTCTGAGTATTCTGGAAGGATGATCACCACAAAACCAGAACCTTATTGTTTGTGATACATACTTGTAGATTAAGAAAAACTCTGCTTACAGTTTTTGTGTTTCATATGGAGTTTTAAATTAATATCCTATTTTCAACTACCAATTAATTCTGTGAGTAAAAGATGAACTCTGCAAGATGGAATGACACAAACAACACTGCTAACTGATGTCAAACTAACTGACTGAAAAAAAAAAAAACACATTTAAAGATACTCATTTAGTCTTTATCAGAAAGAATATCATATGGTTGCATTTCTTTAAATAAAACTGTGTTCCAAGCCTCAAATCACATACCATACATTTATTTATTATGGCCCTCCTAACACATTTCTAGGTTAGATGTTGCTGATATAATCAAAAGATGCAGCAGTACAAAAATAAGGTGTAGAAGATAAGAGAAACACAAAATACAAAGATCTAATTTAAAAATCATATGTGACACTTAAAATACTTTGTTTAAATTATTCCTAAAATAATAATGCACTTTGAAACAAAGAAATCTAAAAAATCAACAGAAATATATAGTATTTAAATTTATGACTTCAAATTATAATGAATTAGTAAATGCAAATCTGTAATCGATTCTCTAGTGAAAAAGCAATCTTAAATTGTATGTCAAGCTAAGTAACACACTCAACACAGTCAAAAATCATGAATGATATAAAATTGGTGCAGAATATCTAGTAATTAGAGAATGAAATGTATGTAGTTTAGAATAAGTACATTAAAGTTTGATTTTCACCAGTTATATTTATTTCAAATATTGAATGTATTTCATTCATTCTTCTAATAAATATTTATTGCATATTATCAGTGAGGCCTTGGAAAGGATACAATGAAAGAAAAATAAAGATGAATGGACTTGGCCCTCAAGGGGCTTACAGTCTACTATGGAATAATTAGCCACACATATCAGTCACAATAACATAAAGTAGAAAGTGATGTGTCATAAGAGAAACTCAAAAATGTATTCAATGAGAGTAATTAACCACAGCAGCTATTTCTTACTTTAGCATCTAGGAAGCTAGAAAAACAGACTAAGTACAAGTTTGAAAATTAAATCAGTTTTATGAATCTACAAATGCTCCTGTATTAACTTTATTTAAATCACTATCAATTATTTTTGAAACATGTTTGAACATCAAGTAGCTGCTATCCATTAGAAATCTAATTTTTCCATTATTCATTTAAAGATGCAAAACTGAATAATCGAATAGTTAATGCCAAAAAAATTCTTTACCTGTAATTAAGAGGCTTGAATCAATTCTCCAAAATACTCATGACACATTACTTTCCAACACAGAAATTGGCTCAATCAGATAAAAGTGATGAAGAATTCCTCGATGGCTCAAGTGTGCTCCAAGGAAAGCTAGAAGGTTGTACAGTTAACTCCCAGGGTGTAACTCTAAACCATACAACCTACTACCTCAACCCGGATGCACACAGCTTCCAATGATGCTTCAAATTTCTTATCATATCTTCTGTCGGCTCCTCCAAATATGGCAGCCATACGTGTACCTAGGGACTTATCCAGGTAGGTATAATAACCTAGCATTATAAAGATAAACTTAAAATACATCTCATATGCCAATTGCATCCCTTTGGATTTCTGGCAAGGTCATGTGGCATGTCTTCTAATAACTCTCCTGCCATTGTTCTACCGGAAATTAATAATATTAAAAACCAGTAGATTGTGGCCTCAGCCTTTGGGAAAAAATAGGTCCAGTGGTAACATATAAATCTAGCTATGGCTTTTAATTTTAATAATTGAAGTTTAGCAGTTGTACTACTCCAGTGATGCACTGAGTTTCTGAATGAGTTCTATTCAGTGACTACTAAAACAGCATTCAAGTTTTTGAAGCAATTTTTTGCACCTGGAGTCAAACAAATGTCTACTCTATAAATGCTTCCAAGTTCTTGGAAATTCCTGCCTTATAAGACAGGTGAGGACTAGCATACACTTGAAAAACAAAGGAAAATAGAATTAGTTTGAGATTAAATCAACTGGAGTTCAACATTAAATTTACTAGAATTTCATTGCACAACACTGTGTATTGCATTTGTCAGATTACCACACTGACACAGACCCATAGAAGCGAGCTTGTGCGGTCCACTTCACCACAAGATCGGATCTACGGGTTTATACCAATGGGCAACATCTCGCATAAGCTCACTATTAATGTAAAATTTGCTGTAAATATCTAATGCAACCAGAAATAAAAATAATAGCGCTGATCCTTTAGTACTCATAATTTAAATGCCGAAATCTAGGGACACATATGCAGAGTTGAAGGCCTTAAGAAATATCTTAACTAAGTATAGCTTTAAAAATATTTTTTCACAGATTACTTTTATTTTAATAGTTGTTATTTTAGATTAAACTATTCTAATTAATGAGTTTAAATAAGGAAAAGAATCCATACAGGTACACATAAATTATGTAATTGTGAGATGTGAATGTTATAATATGAACCCATAATTAAAATCAAATTAATTATTAAGTCACTCATGTGTGAGTTAGACTGTGCATGTTTAGGTCTTATAATACCTTAATGGTTTAAAGGAATTGATAACATAACATTTTAATAAAACAAGGATCGTGTTGATTTTGTGGAAAACACAGGAAGTTATAATTCATGTATATATACATATATATACATAATCATATGTGTCTATAGCTGGAATGATACTAAAATTTACAGTATTCTGATGAATTAAATTAAGCTAAAATCAATAACATGCGACTAGCACATCACTGTTTTTTGCCTAAAATTTGCCGTCCAGATGCATTTTATAAAAATAATATTTTGTCTTTACAAATTTAAATGTATTTTTCAAAAATACTTAAAATATATCTCTATATACATTTCATATTTTTCAACAAGTTGTGCAAAAATAAATTGTCAAAAATATTTTTAAAACATCAGACAACAAACACACAAATGAGTAAATATAAAGCTGGCCACACACACTCAACTTCAATTAAATTGGAAGTTGGATAGTCATTGTTCATTTCATTAATATCCACAACCATTCAGCAATTCTCAATTTTATCTTTGCTGTGAAAACTAATACTAACACATTCCAGGTTTTGAAATAAAATGAAACATGTATTAAAGGCTTTATATAGACAATTTAGTTCACATAAATTCTCCACATTATTTATTTTCCAACTGTTCCCAAATGAATGTAAAATTATAGTAAATAAACAACAGTCATGCATTCAATCATAGCAAAAATATTTCAACATATATCTATAATTTTTGAGATGTGAAATAAAAGCAACACTGGTGCTGAAATTTTATCCTAAATACCTAAAGAATGTAAATGGTGATTTCCTTGTCTTAATAGATCACGAAGAAAGATTTAAAAAGCATGACTTTTCTCCCCATCCCCCAGAATTCACTTTCTTCATATGACCATATAGTAAGAAAAATTTAAAAAATATATATATCTTTCTTTTCCTTTGAAAGTTTCTGTTTAAATGTACTGCACCTATGTGCAGATTTATATTTGAAGGGATATAAACTATACATTAGTCAGAAATTTGGTCATACGTGAATTCTCACATGAACACCATCAATGAAAATTCTAACAGTTAGATGCATAAAGAACACAAAATGAATTCTTTCAATCAAGCACTTTCAAAAGAATTTTCTACTTAAAAATATTAAATTTGAATTGTTCTTTTTTGTATATCTTTACCTGAGATGATTTTCTCCTATGATCAATTTCTTCACGTCTCATATTCACTTTAAGTTTCTGCCTAAAACAACCACAAAAAGAGAAATATCAGACAAGTGCTGCCTAGAAGAAGCATCTGAATACGTGGTGGAAATGAAGGTAGTCGATCGAGAAGAAAACACAATATCAGAATGGGCAAACCTTTTAAAGTATCAGGAAAAAAAATGTCTTGGAAGATTCATAGTGCCCCACCCAAGGCTACTCATATGACATATAATGTGGTTTCAGAGTTTGTACTTATGCCTTCATTTTGGTTGGTGTTGTTTTCACAGTAACAGTTTTGAAAGTGAAAGGAGGATGGCTGTTACAGGAGCGACTGGGTTTTGCACAATGAAGCAGTGAAAGCCGAAAACAGATTTGGATTTGGCATGGAGCTTAATAAGATAATTAAGACTGTAGAGATTATTCGCTACTAAAAATAACATTTAAAACAATTTTTAACTCCAGGATCTTGAAACATGAAAACAGGTTTATTAGTATTAATTAAGCCCATCAAAGTTGAAGTCCCATTAACAGGGGCAGTATGGAGAAGCAAGAGCTATTCTGAAAATAATTGGTAAAAAATAACCAACACAACTGGTAAACCATTTTACTTAAATGTTACATTTTTGATTTTTGTATTTTCGCATACTTTGTGATAGAATAATAAAGTAGAAGGCAAAGTTTATCAGTCCTATGGTATTATGGTATTATTTGTTACCATTCATTTTTGTACACAATAAAATGTGTATTTCAAAACAGTGTAAAGTTTTCTATATGAGAAAGTTCTCTAATGAATATATTATATCACCAATCAATATATAAATTTTAGTCTTCATTGCTATTTGTTGTCTGCTTCAAAAGCAATTCCTCTTCTTTAAAATCTAATATGTTTAGAAACATTTTTTTTTTATCAAATTAAGATAGGTGGAATGAATCTGCTATTTCTTCCAAACTGAACAAGGCAAAGCTGGGTTTTGCTATAAAATGTCTAAATTGCTTAGCAATTTACCTCTAAAAGACAAAATAATTAGAATGCAATGTACTTAACTGCAGAGTCACTGCATTACTTTGAACTTAAATCAAGTTTGAACGTACTTTTCCCCTATGAAATACGGATTGGATAATATTTCCGACGCTTTTTACAACTGCTCTAGGACAAAGATTTCTTTCCAAATGTTTTTTGAAAGAGACTATTATTGTGGAAGAACCTTCTCTTCTGTTTAGCAACTGCAAATATCTTCATTTCATCCCTATCTCTGTTGATTGAAATCCTTGCAAATAATTTAAAAATCACACTTTCCCAAACTAATTTTATTTTCAGTCTTGTAATGCATATTTTCATGTGACCACTTTTTAGAAATCCAAAGCTTTTTCTTTAAAATTTCAAACTATGAATAATATGATTTACTTTCTTTACCTTCTAGATCAAAACACTCACTTTTTTTTTTTTTTAAGCAAAAATGAAACCTGTACGGAGAGCACAGATATCATTTCAATTTCTGTCCAAAACTTCTGGGTTTAGCAAAAATAAAAATGTATACTTTCTTTTCCATTTAACATGTTTATATATTTTACTTCAATTTCTATTCCAATCAGGGTTAGAGCCAAGGAGCAAAAAGAAAAAGTTAAGAAAAGTAAAGTAAAGTGGGTGCTAAGTTAATAAGAGTAAATTGAAAGTTCCAAGTTCCCATGTTATATAAGAGAAGACTTAAAAAAGAAACAATAACAAAAAAATTATACCTGATATGGAAGGTGCGATTTCACCAAGTGCAAAATACCTTGCTAATTAAGCCATAGTTTTGAAATAATGAAAGTAAAGAAGGTTCGTTTGGTTATGTTGCCTTAAAAAGCTGCTTTACAAAGCCCGAGGTCTCTGAAGTTACACAAGCCAATGTTTGCCTCTTTAAAGTTTGTTTTGTTTTGGATTTTGGCTTTTTTTGTTTTGTTTTGTTTTTGTTTTGAGCAGGAGCATCTCATCTCATTTTTTGTTTGTTTTTTCATCACTCTTAGATGCAGTAGGACAAACTCAGACTTTTTTTTTTCCTTCAGGGCTCCTGTTATTTCTTAGCAAAGAAGTATCAGGGTGCTTGTCTTCTTTTTCTTCCTTCTCGGTATTCCAGGCACAAAGCACTGCGCAGAAGCTGCACCAATCCTTGCCGTCACTGGCAGCAGAAGGCTAGAAGGTGGGAGATACCAGGAATCCTTCCAGGCTGTGCTCACTTTAGAAATGAGGATTGCACACGTTGGTCTCCTGAACCAAAGGGGTGAAAAGGCAAAGTGCCAGTTTGCTACAATGCTTGCAATGATCAGCTCACTGCTGCTGTCGTCCTGTTTGCCCAGTTCAAATGCCTGTTCATTCAAAACCAAATAAATAAATAAATAAATAATCCAACTACTTGGATTCTTCAGCAAGCAGACAGGCTATTAACATAAAAAAAAAATCAGCAGTCCTATGAGGCAAAAACAAAAGCACAGACACTTTTAGCATTTACTTGTTATTCCTTAATATTCTGTTATTATTTTCCCTTACTCCCTTTCTGTTTCTCTCTCTCTCTCTCTTTAGAGATAAGCAGCAGAATTTATCAGGCGTGAAAGGGACAGCCTCCTGGTGGCCTGCCAAAAACCCGGAATAAAGGCGAAGTTGTGCTTCAAAGCTTAGTTGCTTGCTGAGTCTGGGTAAAGTCAAGTCTTAAGATCCACCATTTTCTGAGCCATGCTAGAAAAGAAGAAAAAAGTCAGGAGCGTTGCTGCTTTCCAAGTCTCCGTTGGCACCATCCCAAATCTCAGCCGTAAGGTCACATGATTCTCTGCCAAACGTAGAGTGCATTCCCATCAACCACTCTGCTGATACTGCGAAGGCAGCTATTGTCTTGTTTAGTCCCAAAGTTCAGCCCACTCTTCATTGAATTAGCTGAAAAACGCATCACCTTTGGGGGCTGGGAGTCATGGAAACGTCTACCTGGCAAGCTGCCCACTTTTTCTGCCCATCAACCAGAGATGGAATTGTGCTGCCTAATGCAATGATGACTTGGAATGTGAAAAGTCGCCCAAAGTGAATCTGATTCTTGCAACGCCTGTTTCATTCGCACAGAAAACTCTGGCTTCTTGTAGTTAAGAAGAGGAAAAAAAAAATCTTGCTACCAAATGTAGCAAATAAAGGTCTGAACATGCCTACACTGCAACTTTATTTTTCAACACACCCAAATGGTTCTAAAATGAAGAGACAGAACGCACTGCAAGTTTTCTGCATTAAAGGCTTCCCTGCCTCTCTCTCCTTTTCCACAAATGAATGCAATAAACTCAGGACATGTGCTTTAGTTTCTCACTTTAAAATTTAAAAGTCTTTACGTTTCATCCTTGCTTTTTATTACTTTCTGATTTTATCTGGCACCAATTTTGCACTACACAATATCCTCTAACCACAGTGGGTATGCATTATTGCTGTAATCTCCAACAAAGTGGTCCCCTGAGAGAGTCGGTTGTCTCTTCAACTACACTAAACGCTGAAACTCGGTCTTAGGGTAATCTTCACCAGCACCTAACACAGCTGCTGTGTAAGTTTGCTGAAACTGACATATGTGAGATGCACTCTTTCTGTTCATTCGGGGGCCACAGTTTGCTGTGTGGCATGAAAGATGCCTTTGCAAGATGCAGAGAGTATATTAAATGCTCTTAAGCAATAAAATGAAATAGCTCCCCTCTCCCCAGTGAATTTCCATTCCAGCATGCAATGAAAGTTTCATGTACAAACATTTCTATACTTTCTAACAAAAGTGGAAGAAATTAAATGTTTCACAATTTCCTTGAGCAGAATTTGAAGCCAAATAGGAAAGTAAGCACTGTTAGCATTTAAGCCAAACACATTCAGTATTAGTTAAACAAAAAAAGAAAAAGAACATATTACCCTAAGCACGTAAGCAGAGCAACACAGCAATGATTGGGTAATTTCTATTTAAAGTATAATTGCTTTGTAAGAAATGAACAAACTATATTCACTATCTTATCAAAATGATGATTTAACATTCCTCTTTCTCCAAGGCATACATGTGTTCACTGCACAATATTAAATAGAGATTCCAAATGACAAAGCATGATTTTCCTAATAAAAGGAAATCTCCAAAAATGAGAAAGATTCATAGATTTAAAACATACATTCTAAAAATAGCTTATTTTTTTTTGTGCATGACTTTCTGGTCACTGTTTTTAAAAGCTATTGGATAGAATGTTTACACCCACACCCACACACGGGATCCATTATAGTGTTCTTCTCATTTGTAATTTAAAATATACACATTTCTAAACCATAAAGAAAAAGCTTACATGTGTGCTGAACTTAAAATTTCTGTCTTCAAAATTATGAGGAAATTTTGTTAGTGTTTTGCAATACACGTAAGGAGGTTTAGTGGGGAATCAACAGGAGAGATATACCTACCATACCAGCCCTGTGCACTAAACAAAGGATATACACAAACACTCAAAAACAAGGACATTTGAACTTGAAGTTCCCATTTACTTTTTTAGTAGGGATTAAATGGTGTAGGGAGAGTCTTGTGATAGGCATAAGGGAACAAAAATGAATCAAATGAATGTGACTCCCAAAAGGATTCCAAGTCTCAAAACAACATGTACTAATGAAACAATTTGTTAAGAAAAAGTTACTAGACACTGGAAAGTGGAAATGAAGTGAATATTTGAAAATAAATTACAGATGGAGATGGTGTGTCTGCTTAAAAATTCTCTTTTGTAATTAAATATTCATTAATTAGTTTTTCAGGATTCTATTTTTTTTTTTTTTACTTTCTTAGAGAACCTAAAGTGAAAATTGCATGCTGCGCTCCTAACTAAAAATATAAATAGATGGGAAGGAAAGAAACAAAAGACTCAGGCTTCTACAAGGAGAGACTGTAAGGTTCAACTAAAACACATCTATGTTACACAGAAAATAAATGGAAGGAGATTCTGGGACAATGAAAAGAAGATAGCATAGTAGCAAAGAACTGCAGAATCCAGAACACTCCAGGAGAATCAGTTCCTTAGATTCTCCTTTTGCCCTATAAAACTGTAACTCAGGAATGGCAACTGGTTTTAAGAGAAACATCTGCACAAAAGCCCTGTTCTCCCTTGTCAAGACAAAAAAAAAGTATGTGTGTGGGGGGGTGGCAGCCGAGAGACAATGAGCCCATAATCCCCAGAATAATATAAATTTGCTCCACTTAAACACCATAGAAAATTCTTGGGTCCAATCAGAAGTCACTCCTGCAAGGTCAAATGAGGAGCATAGGCACCAGTACTTGCCAGAACAAAGTATTCCCAGGCATAAGGCCTGCTCAGGTAGAGACCTGTGACTTCCATCCTGTTGAGAGGTGAGTGGGTAACAAATCTTATTTTCTTCTATGCAGGGTAGAAGTTACATGGGGAACCTTGACATTTTTATGCAAACCAACAGTGAAGAAACTGCCCACCTCCATACTCAGATGGTTTTAGAGGAGGTCGGTTGGAGAGGCAAACATTAGAAATTATATCCTCTAACCTCAAGACTGGTGAAGGCTGCAATGGAAAAAATAATAAGCCATTTTTATCCAGGAAGTAAGGAACCATTCCTTCTCAGATGGCATCAGTGGAGAATTACTCAGGAAGAGGATATGTCACCCTCATTCAACAGTAACAAGAAGCTCTCACACCTCAGATATTGATGGTGGCCAGGCAGGGACATTAATATCAATATCAGGACTGGTAGCCACATTTAATGGTGGCACAGCAGCTCATCTTCCCCATTCCTTGGTGAAATGGTATAAGTGGATGCAAACGAATGAGAGATATAACTTAGTCTGTGATACACAACATGCAAAATGTTCAGATTTTCTTTTTAAAGATGTATTTGTTTATTTATTTATTCACTCATTTATTTAATAGGTAGAGCAACAATGGAAAGAGAGTGATCTTTTACCCACTGATTCATTCCCCAAATAACCACTGATTCACTCCCCAAACAACAAGAGTCAGGGCCCTGTAACTTCCTCTCAGTCAGCTTCCCAAGTATTTAGTCCCTCTTTTACTGCCTTCTCAAATGTGTTGCCAGATAGCTGGATCATCAGCACAGCAGAGAAGTTAGGACTCAAACTGGCAGTCTGACATGGGATGCCAGCACCACATCCAAGATGATCTTACACTGAATATGCAAAAGAAATAAACAATATGCAAATAAGACATAGAGATACTAGCAAGCTCTCACTGAACTATAAAGCAGCCATCAGTAAAACACTTCAACAAATAGAATTACAGTTGAAATAAATTTATAGATAGAATTAGCAATAAAAAATGAGGGACAAATGATAATCACATGGAAATTGCAGCATTGAAAATTATTGAAAATCAAACAACTCAATGGACATACTCAAGAGCAGAGTGCAAGGGCAGAAGGAAGAAGCAATGAACTGAAAGAACACTAGAATTATTCCATCTGATCAGTGAGAGGAGGAGTACTGCAAAAGGAGGAAAAATGGGATTTCAAGCAACTGTAGGGCCATAATAAACAGATTAAACCCTTGTGACGTTAGAGTTCCATGAGAAAGAAGGTAATAAGAGTCAAAAATGTTGAAGATAATAATGGCTTGAAAGTTCTGAAATTCAGTAAAGACCAGAAAAAAGCAAAACAAAGCAAAGCAAAAATTGTTGAAACAAAAGTACTACCAAAGCACCATTCCATACCCATGAGGAACACCTTACAGGAATGACGGAAAAAGCAAGACATAAGACATTATCCTCTGATGAAAACCAAGGAAATTGTTACCAGCAGGATATCCAAAAGAAGTAGATCATATGGCTGGGTAAACAAAGGGAATGGAAACTTTGGCTTTGGCCAGAGGAGTGGAAGTGCTTAGACACCAATATCTTATGCAAAGGCTAGTTCAACTTCTTTGAGCTTCACTTGCAATCTAGCTCCCTACTAATGTATCTAGAAAATGCAGCAGAATATAGCCTAATTATTTGGTCCCCTGCTATGAATAATGGAGACTTGCAAACAGTATCGGGATCCTGTCTTGGTCTGATACAGCCCTGGCCACTATAGTCCTTTGAGGAGTTAATCATCTGGTGAAAGAGCCTTTTCTGTGAAACTCTGCCTTTCAATTAAATAAATATATCTTTAACACAAGATCAAAGAAAGAGCTATGGAAATTTACTGCAAAAAATCAGCAAAAACAAATATGTATAAATATGATCAATTCTCCTCTGTCCCTGCAATGGACAGCTGAAGGCAAGGAGCTAATATACTCCCGATCTCCCATGTTCTTGCAAGGGCCCAAGCTCTCGGGACACTCTCTGCTTCTTTCTGAGATGTAGTAGCATAG